GGCCAGAGAGCAGCGGCCCCCTCTGTTAGCGTGTGCACAGCAAATCCTGCAGACACAGCGGAGTCCTGGGCAGAGGCTCTGGTCAGGCTTCCCCAGGGCTGTGATCTGCAATCTCAGGATGAGAGAGCGTCCCCAGTCCTCCCGTGGTCTCAGGATGAGAGCATTGTCCCCAGTCCTCCCGTGGTCTCAGGATGACAGCATTGTCCCCAGTCCTCCCGCGGTCTCAGGATGAGAGCGTCTCCAGTCCTCCCGTGGTCTCAGGATGAGAGAGCGTCCCCAGTCCTCCCGTGGTCTCAGGATGAGAATGTCCCCGGTCCTCCCGTGGTCTCAGGATGACAGCATTGTCCCCAGTCCTCCCGTGGTCTCAGGATGAGAGAGCATCTCCAGTCCTCCCGTGGTCTCAGGATGACAGCATTGTCCCCAGTCCTCCCGTGGTCTCAGGATGACAGCATTGTCCCCAGTCCTCCCGTGGTCTCAGGATGAGAGTGTCCCCAGTCCTCCCGTGGTCTCAGGATGACAGCATTGTCCCCAGTCCTCCCGTGGTCTCAGGATGAGAATGTCCCCGGTCCTCCCATGGTCTCAGGATGACAGCATTGTCCCCAGTCCTCCCGTGGTCTCAGGATGAGAATGTCCCCAGTCCTCCCGTGGTCTCAGGATGAGAGCATCCCCAGTCCTCCCGTGGTCTCAGGATGAGAATGTCCCCAGTCCTCCCGTGGTCTCAGGATGAGAGCATCCCCAGTCCTCCCGTGGTCTCAGGATGAGAATGTCCCCAGTCCTCCCGTGGTCTCAGGATGAGAGTGTCCCCAGTCCTCCCATGGTCTCAGGATGAGAATGTCCCCAGCCCTCCCGTGGTCTCAGGATGAGAGCATCCCCAGTCCTCCCGTGGTCTCAGGATGAGAGCATTGTCCCCAGTCCTCCCGTGGTCTCAGGATGAGAGCATCCCCAGTCCTCCCATGGTCTCAGGATGAGAGTGTCCCCAGTCCTCCCGTGGTCTCAGGATGAGAGCATCCCCAGTCCTCCCATGGTCTCAGGATGAGAGTGTCCCCAGTCCTCCCGTGGTCTCAGGATGAGAATGTCCCCAGTCCTCCCGTGGTCTCAGGATGAGAGCATTGTCCCCAGTCCTCCCATGGTCTCAGGATGAGAGTGTCCCCAGTCCTCCCGTGGTCTCAGGATGAGAATGTCCCCAGTCCTCCCCGTGGTCTCAGGATGACAGCATTGTCCCCAGCCCTCTGCTGGCTGTGAGCAGCAGCTGTCACTGCTGTGCCGAGCCCCGCCCCCCCGGGGTGGGGGGCTCCTGTTGGATGCTGTGACGCCGACAATGCCCCTCTTCAGGGCTTGTGTGGTGAGGGGGATGCCACTGGGAGCCTGGGGGGCGCAGACAAAGCGTGCGTGGGTGCAGGAGCCGGTGGGCGGCCCTGGCTGCTGAGCCCTGCTGCCTGCCCAAGCCTGGGGCGGGCCTCCCCAGCCTCGGTGTGGGTGCTGGGTCCAGGCCCCCAAGGTGGAAAATAAAGCAAACAGGGGCACTGCCGTGAACACTGGGAGTGACTTTACGGGAACTGTGCGGGTGACCCCAGGATAGGTCCCCGTGTACACCCACCCCCACCACCACCCAAGTCCGCCCAGCTGTGTCTGGGAGTCTCATGCCTGGGGTCTGATGATGAACCAAAGCCCCCCCAGATGCCAGGGCAGCGCTTCCAGACGGACGCAGTGGAGGAGGAGGGCCTGTGGATGCCCGTGTCTCCTAGAGTGGGCGCGTCTGTGTGGGGGTCGGGGAGGGGGGCATGAGATGTGTTGGGCGTTGCACTTGGAGGGTAGAAGGACTGCGCAGCACATCCCCGTCCTGGCCAGGACCACATCGTGCCCCTCCCGGGGCCAAGCACACAGAGGCCCCCGCCTCCAGCTGCAGCACTGGGGGAACCACAGAAACAGGTAAAAAGTCTCCAAGGAGCAGATAACTCCCTAATCAGCGAGGCTGTGGGGGAAGGAGCAGTTTAGGGTCAGAATCAAGATAACAGCAAGAACCCTGGCTCCAGGGCGGAGCCAGCAGCCGAGGAATGGGGATGCCGGGGGCTGGCAGCTGCAGGGCCTCCAAGTGAGGGATTCTTTACCGAACACAGCGGGCAGAGCCCCTCTCTTGCTGTAGGGTGGCCGCTGGCCCCAAGAGGTCCCTGGCAGCTCCTGTGTAACCTGGAGCCCCTCCCCACTGCCCCTGGGGACCCAACATGCCTGTGCCTGGGGCTTCCGAACCACAGAGGCGCCACTGAGGCGGCCGTGGAGGCCACCGGGCCACTCCCTCCCCTCCTGCTCCACAGCCGCCCCAGAAAACCGGCTGCTCTCAGCCCCGAGGCTCCCAGGCGCCTGCCTGCCCGAAGCTGTCCACCCCAGGCCCCGACCAGCACCGAGGATCAACCCTGAGGGGCTCCCCCACGCCACAGGGCCCTGGGAGGGCACCACTGAAAGCCGCCCTGGATGGGCACCAGGCGGGAAGCCAGCTGTGGCCCCTCGGCCCTGAGTTCCGCTCCCCTGGGCATCCCCGCCCTCTCCGCCAGCATCCATGTCCCAAGGACAGGGAAGGCCCAGGGCTGACGGCTGTGGCCACACGGTGGACAGGAGATGCCCACCAGACCCAGAGGTGGGTGGGAGCAGAGGTGAGCCCAACACCCCCGCCCTGGGCGAGTGCGGCTGCCCGGCTGGACTGCGCTCAGGCCGACCGTCTGCACCTGCTGATGTCCCACGGAGACCCTGATCAAAGTCGCTCACTGAGGTCCCATGTGCAGCGCAACTACAGCGCAAAGCACGTGTGTGCTGGGACAGACCCTGCTGCCGCCGCTGAGGCTGCTGGGATCTCGGGCCAGGAGCGCAGCCGTGGGCGAGGAAGGGGCCTCGGAGCCTGGCTGAGCGGGGCCCAGCTCGCGCTCGCGGGCAGGGAGTGGGGTGCGGGCATCCTGGAGCTGGCTGGAAGGAGCTGGGCGGGCTGCTGGCCTGGCAGCGGAGCGGGGGGCGGGCTGCCCAGCTGCCGTGTTCTCCTTACACTGGGCACTGCTCCATCACCCGCCCCACGCAGGGCTGCGACCCTGGCCTGGGCCCAGCTGCCCTCCCTGGAGGGGGCTGCACTGTGTCCTTCCCCGCACCTGGGATTCCCCCGCAGGTGCAGCCCACGGGCTCCTTCCGGGCAACCTCCGGCCTGCCGTGGGTGCTGCTGCAGCCCCGCGGCGCCACTGTGGGGAGGCCACAGCTCACCCACTGCGGGAAACTCTGCAGCCTCACGTGGCCCTGGGTGCAGCACACGTGTGTGCATGAGTGTGCTCCTGGGAGTGTGCACGGATGGGGGAGGAACAGTGCATGTGTGCACACGTGTATGTGCACATGAGTGTAAGTATGCTTGTGGGGGGCAGGGAGGGAGGGAAAGAGGCCGAGACAGTGTGCATGTGCTGTGTGTGTGTTGCATGGATTGTGCACGTATGCTCACATGTGAAAGTGCTGTGCCTGTGAGCACACGTGTACACTGTGTGCATGCATGTCACACATGTGGGTGTGCTTGTGTGTGTGTTTTTGCACTGGGTTTGGGTATGTGTTCACGTCAGAATGAGTTGTGCCTGTGTGCACGTGTACTGTGTATGCATGTGTACGCAAGTGTGAATGTCCTGTGTACAGTGTGTGTGCTCACGTGTGACTTGCAGTGCCTGTGTGCACCCTGTGGGTGCGTGTTCACTGTGTGTGTACACTGTGCATGCGTGGGCACTGTATGTGCATGTGTGTACATGTAGGTGTCCTCGCCTCCCGTGTTCTTCCTGGGCTCACCCCCGAACCTTCCCTAGGGCCTCTCCTGGCCTCCTCTTTCCTCCCACGTCACACCACGGCAGGAGCAGCTGGGGCTGGGGTGAGCATCGTCCCCCCACCTTGTGGGAGCTGCCTCCAGCCACCTGTGACCCTGAGCGGCCTCAGAGCCTGCAGGGCATCCAAGCGGGTGCCCACGGTGTGGCCAGGATGCACCTGGCTCAGTGTCCAGCTTGCCCCCTCACCCCCGACCCTGGGCTCAGCACCAGTGGCGCCTGGCTCTGTTGGCTCAGCTCCAGTTGCCTGGCACGAAGACTCTGCTCGGATTCCTTGGCCCTGTCTGGTAGGTGATGGTGACAGTGACGTCCTCTCAGGCAGCTGCTGTCCCTCTGTCCTTGGGTGCACGATGGCCACCTTCACCCTGGCGGCCAGTGTGTCTTCCACACCTCAACCTCCTGCTGACCCCTGGCAGGTGAGCCCAGGTCGGAGTCAGCAGCCTGTGCCCGCCCAGCCACCCCCATGGCCCTGCCCAGAGCCTGGGGGCCCTGCCCAGAGCCCAGCTATGCTCTCTCCAGCAGGTCAGAGCCCCGCCTGGGTGGCCCCTCCCACTCGTGTCATCTGAGCTCTCCGCCCCCTGTGACTGAGTGACAGTTCTGCACGCAGACCACCCTGCTGATACCCAGCCCCCAGCCCCACAGCACGTGATCGAGGATCTTTGAGATCTTGATTTCCCGGTTCCCTCCCCAAATGCCCCCAACCCACCAGGGCTGAACCAGGCCCAGGTCCCAGAACTCGGCAGGGCCCCACATTCTGGAGCCGCCCAGGTGCACGAGCAGGGAGCTGAGCTGCAAGCAGAGAGCGGGGACTGAACCAGGCGCCCGGCAGGGCCCGGGGGTGTCGCAAGCCGCAGCTCTGCTGCTGTGCCAGACGCCTCGCCCTGGTTCTGATGTTAGGAGGGGAGGCGGCCCCCACAGAGCCCCTGCGGCTGGGGGGAGCGCCCCTAGCTCCAGGTGGTGCCCAGGATCCTCCGCAGAGGCCCCATCCCCGTCCTGTCGCAGGGCCCGCAGTCTGATCCGGCCCTGGGAGCCCCCAGTCTGCACCCCCAAACTCTCCTCTTGGGAGAAGGCCTTTGCTCTAAAGGCGATGCGGACACCTTGGAGGGCCACCCCTCCCCCCCTCCCCCCTCCCCTCCCCTCCCCCCGCCCCCCACTGTAGGCTCCCTCCTGGCAGGGCCTTTGTCTGGGGTCGCATCACAGGGCCACAGCGCTTCCTTCCTGGGGCCCTTGCCTTCCCAGGTGGCCTGGGTGAGCCGTCCAGTGCCTTCAGGTGGTGGCCCACGGGGAACAGAAGCCCTGCTCAGCATCACCTGGAGGGAGGTGACCCAGGTGAGGCTTTGGCTATCACAGGAGCCCCCTAAGGAGCCAGCACCCTCCTGGGACCTGGCAGGAGGGGGAACCCCCACTGGCTGTGCGGGGGGGCCAGGGCTGTAGTTTGGGGGCGGCCCACAGCTGTTCCCACACTGGGGCTCCTCCTCTGCTCCATGCCGTGGCCTGAACCCCTGGGAGAGGCCACTTAGACTCCTGTGGCCTCCCAGGCCACAGAGGACACTGCGGGCAGGCAGGGCTGCCCACTGCCCCAGCCACCTGTGGGTGGGCCTAGGGGACAGGTGGGGGGAGCAAAGGAGACAGGAAGGGAGGAGGGGGGAGGGAGGGAGGGAGGGATGGAGAGAGAGAGAGAACCCAGAGGGCGGGGGCAGGGGCAGGAGGGCCAGCACAGCTCGGGTCGCGGGTGCTCTCAGGGGCCAGGGGCCGGCCGCTTTAAATCTTAGTTGGCCGCCTCTTAAACATCGTTTAGGGGCTGGCGTCCCTGGCTCGCTCTAGTCCAGAGGGTGCCCTGTCAGACTCCAGCACCTCGCCGGGCCTCTCCCTTCAGTTAAAAAAAAAAAAGTAAAAAAATAAAAAATAAATTAAAAGAAAAAAAAAGGAACGGAGAAAAAGAAGATGGAGCCGTCAGCGCGGTCCGGGGTCGATAAAGCTTTCAGCCCGCGCCGCCCTCCGCAGCCCGTGTCCCGCGGCTACGAGCGTTAATGGAGCTTAGGACGCGCCCGGCCGCGCGGGAGGGCCGTATATTTCCCGCGCGGCTCCCGCGAGCCCGCTCGCGCCGCTGTCAGACCCGCTTAATGAAAAGTAACGCGCCGCTGATTGCGGTTTCATTCGGGCGCCACGTGAGGAGCGCGGTGCGTTCAACACCCCCGCCCGGCGCCGTCGCCCGCGCCACGCCTGGGCGCGCTGCGGGGACGCGGCCGCCCCGGGCCCTGCCCCGGGCCCTCCGCGCGCGGCCTCGCCCTCCGCACCGCCCGGAGGCCGCGCGGGGACCCCCGAGCCCCCGGCCCGCCCCCGGCCCGGAGGGCTCCACTTCGCGGCCTCTCAGTGCGTCCCGGAACGCGCGGTCGCCGCCAATTCCACCTGGCTCCGGGCAGCCCGCCGCGCGGGGTTCCGACGGCCGGGGCCACGGGCGCGACGGGGGTCCCCGCGCCAGGGACCGCGCCAGGCGCGGGCGGCCGCGGGAGCGCTCGGCGCCCCGGGCCCAGCGGGACCCCGCCGCGCCGCCCTGGCCTGGGCGCCGGGCCCAGGTGCCAGCCCGGGCTTTGCGCCTCGGCGGCCGCCCGAGCCCGGCTTTGTCTGGGCCCGCGGCGGGGGCGCGCTCGGCGGCCGCATTAGCATTCGCGGCGCCCCCGCCGCGGCCCGGCGCCCTCCCCGGGGACTCCACTTTCGCTCCTCCTGTCAAGTCCCCTTGACTCCCTCCTTCTGCCCTTTTATCTGTTACAACTAATTCGCGTTCTTCTGCCCTTTTCAGCCCGAGACGTGGGCTTCCCGCGCAGCCGCCGCTGCCAGCGAGCTCGCGGAGCGCCGCGCCGCTGGAAATTGCGGGGTTCACTGTCAAAATGAAAATTTCACTTCAAATTATCTTGGCTGATGCTCGCTCGCCAGGCCGGGGGCTCCTGCCGCAGCCTTTTGACAGGCACATCAGCGGCGAGCTTCCGGATCTCGATAATATCATCCAGGAGCGCGAAAGTCAATACGGTGACAGCGCGGGGCCGGCTACAATCCAATTACCGCGCGGCCGCCGGCGCCCGCCCCGCCGTCGGGGCTCGGGGCGGGGCCCCGCGCGGGCGACCCGGGCGTCCCGGACCCGCCGCGCGCGGGGACGAAGGCGGTTCCCGGCGCCCAGATAGCCCGAGCCTTCTTGGGGACCGAAGACCCCCACGAGGCTCCAGGCTGGCCCCCGGCTCCAGGCTCGCTGGAGCGAGAAAGCCTTGGCCTCGCGTGCCCCTCGCCGAGGTCCCACCTCTAGCTGGGGTCTCCGCGGCTGTCAGTCTCTGTCCGGGTCCCCACCTCCCCAGGGCTCCCGCCCAGGCTCACGGACCACCTCTCCGACCTCCTCGGCAGCGGGGCGGGGCGGCACGGGAGACGGGCGGGTGGAAGTGGGCTTTGGGGGCAAGGCCGCGGTTTGCGCAGCCCGGAGCGGCCAGGCAGGGCCGGCCCGCGCGCTCCCAGCCCGAGGAGGCCTGGTGGGTTCCTTCCCCAGCCCTCCCCGCGGCCCGGAGGCCTTTCGGTCCGCCCCACCTCCCGTTCGCGGCTAAGGACGCATTTCTGTCCCTGGAGCGGGGGTGAGGGGGGTGGGGTGATTGGGGTCCTGCGGAGTTGGGATCCCAGGCCCGGTCCCACAGCCCGGGGGGAGTCTCCTACACCAGTTTCAACAGCGTCCTGCCGCGGCGAAGTTCTAGGTCAGACGCGCTCAAGCCCGGTGGGGCAGCCCCCGCACCTTCACGCGGGGCCTCGCTTCCCGGCGGAGGTTCCCGGGGCCAGTCCCCACCTCAGCTCGCCCTTTCCCGGGGGACTGGCACCGCCTCCTCGAGGTGCCGATCTTCTGGTGTGGGTGTTGAGTTCACTTCGCAATGCAGACGCCATCACTGGGTTTTATTGGTTTTGTTATAGGAGCCTCTCTCGAAGCAGGCAGTTACTGGTGTGGACATACATTTAGAAGCCATCACTGTACCAAGTGTGAGCAGTGGTGCATGGGGGGAGTGTGCTGTCGGTGCGGGCCGATGCGCGGGCGCCCACACAGGCGGGGGACGCTGCCTGCCGACCCCCGCATGCCGCAGACCCGAAAGGAGAAGCGCGCCCGGGGATCTGAGACTCCATCGCTCCCTGTGCTCTGTGCGCGCGCTCTCCCCCGGCTCCCCGAATTCCGGGGGACAAACCGGGACGACTCGACCAGGTAGGGTCGGCGTGCCCTGCCGGCCGGACAGCGCGCGCGGCGTGTCCACGGCCCCGTGAGCCCGAGTCCAGGTCCTCCCCTTCCGGTGGGCTGCCGGCCAGGTAGGCTGCGCTCTCGCCTGCCTTCAGACACTCGGTCAAAGAGTCCGCGCCGCCTGCGCGCCTCGGCTCGGCTCCGCCCGCGTTAGGCGCAAAAGGGCTTGCCGCCGGCCTTGGGCACCGCCAGCAACTCCGGGGCGTCCGGGGGCGCGGCGGGAGGGAAGGCGCGCGCCGTCAGCACGTTGGCGCCCGCCCCCAGCGAGCGTCCCAGCGGCCCCGGGTCCAGGAGGGCGCCCTTGGCGGTGGCCCAGGCCTGGTTCAAAGTGCTGTGCCTGAGGATGGGGTCGTGGAACACCCCGTCCACCCAGTTTCTGAGACTGGTCACGGGGGAGTCCTGGTGCCTGTCCAGGGCACCGGAGGGGGACGCCGCAGGCACCGAGGATGCGGCTGCGGGCACAGCGGGGCCTTGGCGCTTAAGCATGCACGACGGAAACTCAGTCTGGTTCAGGGTGGTGGCGGCCGCCGTGGCCGTTTGCGCCAGGGACCAGATGCGCGGCTTAGCCTCGAGGCCTGCCGGCGCTGTGGCTGACGCGAAGCCCAACTTGGCCTCGCACACCTGCGGGCCACCCTCCGAGCCAGGCGACGGCTCTGGTCCAGCCACTGCGCTCCGGAGGCAGCTCCGGGCCCTCTCTAGGTCCTCGTCCAGGGCGGCTGCACCACCGGCCGCCAGGGGCATGGAGAGGGCGCCCGAGACCTCCTTGGTCGGGGCGCCAGCACCGTCAGGCGCCGCGGGGACGCGCTCCAGGCCGCCGTCCAGGGGCTGGAAGGGTGCTTTCAGCTCGCACTCCGGGGTCTCGGCCTCCAGGGGGTCGAAGTCATCCAGGTCACTAAGTTGCAGCTCCTTTTCCTCTTTGCTGTCCCGGTCTGTCGGGAGAGAGCACGTGGCCAGTGGAGGGCCAGAGGTCAGCGGGTCAGATGCAGCCCCCGCCCGCAGCCCCCCCTGGAGCTGAGAGAAGCACCCCCATCGCCCACGGGCAGCCTCCGACCCACAGGGAAACGGGAGCCTAGCGTCTCTCAGCGTGCAGTCTCCGCCGCTGACACAGTCCCCACACCCCGGGCGCTGCCCGCGCAGGACCACAAGCCTTGGCTCCGCGTGCCGGCTCCGCAGGGCGTCCCGGGGAAGGCTCAGGGACCCGGGCACAGCAGGCAGACCTCCGCCCGCACCTCCGCTCTTGGCGCCCTTAGGGGCCTCCTCCCGCACGGCGTCCTCGCCGCCCTCCTCCTCCTCGCCCTCCGCGAAGGGCCGCTTCTCGTCGGCGCACTTGTTCCGCGGCGGCCACGTCATCTTGTTCTCCTTCTTGAGGCGCCGGCGCGCGTTGGCGAACCAGGTGGAGACCTGCGTGAGGGTCATCTTGGTGATGATGGCCAGCATGATCTTCTCGCCCTTGGTGGGGTAGGGGTTCTTGCGGTGCTCCTGCAGCCAGGCCTTGAGCGTGCTGGTGGTCTCCCGCGTGGCGTTCTTGCGCCGCGTGCCGCTGTCCACGGTCCCATACCTGGAGACAGGCCCAACAATGGGGCACCGGCCGCAGAGCCCGTGCCACGGGCAGCCCCGGGGCGCAGCGGGCTTGGCTTGGCTGGGCAGGGGTTATGCTTAGGGTCAGAAGGCCCCGTGGGAGCTGGGCCTGCCGCCATGCCTGGCCTTTTGCGGCAGAGGGGGAGGATGTTGTTAAAACCACAGGGAGCCTGGACCCTCACCAAAGGGATGGGGCTGAGTGATGGGGCTCCTGCAGCACCCTCTGAGCCCCCCCCAAACATGCCTCAGCCACGGGACCGCACCCTGACAAAGCCACCCGTGGGCATCAAGTCCGCAGGGGCTCAGCGGGCTTTCTCCGGTTCCGTTTGTAACGGTGCCCGTGGACGACGGGCAGGCTGTCGCTGGGCGCAGGGGCACTGGGCCGGAGGAAAGCTGCCCCACATCGTGGCACGGCGGGCGGTGCTGAGCCCCGACGCGGGAGGGCCGGGCCGCTGTGGCCCGCAGGACGCCGGCCAGGGAGTCGCCCGCGACCCAGGACTGGTGTGGTGTTGGCTGGCGGCGGACACGCAGCGGCCCTGCGGTGGGAGCCGGGCAGGACCTCACCTGTCGTACGGGTACTGGCCCAGGGCCGGCTCATATGGGTAGTAGGCAGCGGCGGCGGCGGCGGGCGCGAGCCCCGCATGCGCAGACCCCGTCCCGTCCTTGGAGTCGAAGCCGTTCTGTGGGGGCGAGGAGTCGGGTGGCGGCGTCGCGCAGATCCCGCTCGGCCCCGCCTCACCCTGTGGCTCCGGCCTCCTCCCCGCGCGTTCGAGCCCCAGCCCCGACCGAAGAGGGAGGGCGCGGTCGAGGAGCGGAAGAGAGGACGAAGAGCGGGGAGGGGCGCTGGGGTGGGGGCTTGGGGAGGCGGGGCAGGGGTGGGGAGGGAGGCGGGGCGGGGGAGGGGCGAGCGCATGCACGGGGAGACCACGTCGGGGTCCCAGGGAGACCCCAGGGCAATGACGGCGTCCGACACGCCAGCCCGCCTGCCCGTCCCCTCGCGCGAGCCCGACCCGGAAGGCGCAGTGGCCCGGAACCCAGGACCACGTCCCGGCGCGAGGCAGCGGGGGTGCGGGGCGCCCCTCACCAGCGAGTAGAAGGCAGACGCGTCGGAGCCGTAGGTTACATAGTTGCCGTAGCCCTGTGAGCCCCCGTAGGGGCCTCCGTAGACGCCGAGCGCTGCGGCCGAGTTCAGCTCGTGGCGCGCGGTGGCCAGCAGCCGGCTCTCGTAGACCGGGCAGTAGACAGGCGCCTGGGCCGAGGCGGCGGGCCCGGGCTCGGCCAGCGTACGGCCGCCCGACTCGCAGCACGCGCTCAGGGAGTTGGCGGCCATCAGGAACTGCGGGGAGAGGGCGGCGAGGAAGCGCGGGGCCCTCGGGGGCGCTCCCGGCCGCCTGTGGCCACGCAGGGCCCGCTCCGGGCCCCCGGGGTCAACGACACCTTCGTGAGCCACGTGTCTCCTTGTCCGCCGGCTCCCCAGGTGTCGGGGCTCCGATGGGAATGTGGACCCCCCACCACCCAGCCGGGTTTCCACAGCGCCCCTTCCCTCCCAGAGTCCACCCGCCAGAGGAGGGGTCGCGCGGCACGAGCCAGGCCCTGCCCGCTGGCCGGGACGGGGCCTCGGTGCGCCGCGCATCCCCCGCAGCCGTCGCTGCTCCTTACCTGGGGGGCCGAGGAGTAGGGGTATCCGAACTGCGTGTAGGACATGGCGGGCGTGGCCGGCGGGGTCCTGCTCGGGGGCGCGGCCGCGGCTGCAGGCTGGGGGCTCCTAGGCGCTGGGAGGGCGGAGCGGGAGAGCCGGTTAATGCGATGCACGCGCTCCGCAAACTTTTCTAACGCGGGAAGAAAGTGAGCCGCGAGGGCCGCAGCAGCTGGCTCTCAGCTTCTGGGATCCGGAGCCTCGAGGAGCTCTGGGGCCGCCCGGCCTCGCAGCGGCCACAGAACAGCATCTTTGCCACCCACCCACCGCGAAAAAACCAGGGTGCGTGGGGATAATGGGGCGCGCGTCCCCACAGCGGCCGATGGGCTCGCTTGAAGCGGCCCTGGCTCTGACGTCAGCACAGGCCCCTGCCCGGCTTGGCCGCGGGCGCGCGGGTCACTTGGCGGGGCCGAGCCGCGCACCCCGGGCCGGCGAAGGGGCCTGGGGCCTTCCCGCGTGCATCCTGCCCCAGGAGCCGACATTGCGCCGAAGCGCGGGGTTCTCCTTAGTCACCGAGGACTGAAGCACTTTTAATTAGAAATTAATTAACGAGCAGCTGCTCCTGCCCGCCCCGCTGCCATCATTCGTCTCAATTACAAATGAGGCCTGGGAGGGACACGCGACCGAGCCTTCGCTGAGGATGTCACCGACAGTTAAAATGAACCGCGCGCCGGCGGCAGCCCCAGCCTCTCCCCGCCATTGTCTGCAGGCTCGGCCACACCTCCCAGCAGCTCCGGCCCGACCACGAAGGGCGCTGGGAGCCACCTGCGGCCGCGGAGCGCCGGCCCCGGGGGGCGAGATGTCCTCGGGCGCGAGGTCACCCGGGCCTTCCCCACAGCCGGACACTACGCCCCGGGACTGGCGGCCCCGGTGCTGCGCGCCCTCCCCGGAGAGCGCCGGCCCCTGCGCCGCTTCGGGCCCTCTGGGTCTCCGCGCAGCCAGCCGCCCTGGCCTCTCCTCCCCGCCTCGCCCCCCATCCCTCCCCCGCGGGCCGCCCAGCTCCGGTCGCTCCCGGTCTCCCGAGGCTGCGCCGGGCGCCGCCAGAGGTCCCCGCGCGCTCTGAAGAGCAGGTTTCCCAACTCGGCCCCGGGGCCCCTCCTTGCCGGCCTGGGCGCGGGGGAGGGGGGCGCCGGGCGCCGGGCAGAAGCGCCCTCCCCCTGTCCGCCTTTGCGCAGCCTCCTGCCGGGGGAGGGGTGCGGGGAGGAGGGCCGGTGCGCGCCCCAGGGCTTGCCCGAGGTCAGAGGGGGAGGCCACAGAGCAGGCGGCGAGGGGGCGCCCGGGCCACTCCGCACTGTCTCCGCGCGATTCGTGCCGCCGCGCTCCGGGGTCCCGGCCCGCCCCCGCCGCGCTCGCCCGGGAGCGGAGCCGCGCTGGGCGGCGCTGTGCAGACTTGCTCGGAAAGATTCCTGGGCTCACCGGGTCACCCTCGCATGGATGATGGCGGTGTCGCCAGCCCCGGGCTGCGGGGCTGCCTCGCAGAAGCGAATCCGCCGGCCCTGACAGCTCGGTGGAAGGTGATTGATGACTACCCGGAGCCCGCGGCACACATCATATAATATCTGCTGCGTAATTGCTTTAATTTACAGATGGAAATCCGAGTTCTGCGATCGCGCTGGACCGCAGCCGGGCGCGTCCGAGCCGCGCGCGCGCGGAAGGCGTCGGAAATAATGAGCGGCCGCTCCATGCAAACGATTCGGACGGGTCAGCGTGGCCGCCGGCAGTCGCGGACAGCGGACGGAGCCAGGCGACGCTCGCGATCGCTCCTGGATCCCGTATTGATTTCACGGCGGGCCGCGTTTATTTCCCTCACCCGAATTGCTAATATCACCTTCCTGTAAATAATAAGAAACTAGCCACCGGGCTTCTCGCTGGAATCGCGTCTCAATCTCGCTGCCTTCCCGCGCTGCCGCCCCTCCCCCACGCCCCTCCCCACGCCCGCCCCCTCCCCACGCCTGCCCGTTTTCCGGCTTTGGCTGAGGCTCTCGCCGCACCCCCTCCTACTTGCCATTATTTGTTGTTTACAAACAACTCGCACCGTCCTGGCTGTGGGGCGGGGTGGGGGGCGAGGGAGGTCAGGGCCCAGGGCCTGGAGGCCTTCGCCCTGCGCCTGGGGTGGAGGTGGGGGCCTGGGTGCTCCGGAGCGAGCGCCGGGGCCTGCGCGCCACGCTTCTTTCCCGGGACGCGCGGGCCAAGGCGCGCGGGGGACTGCGGCCGGGGCACGCAGCCGTTCTCCTCGGAGCAGACGCGCTCTCGCGCCCGGAGCCGAGCACGCGCAACCTCCACTTCCCGGCCAGCCGGTCTGCGGGGGCCTCTGGGGAGTGGCTTCAGGGGCTTCTCTGCCGAGCCCCCGCAGGGATCAGGCTCCCTTTGCGACCTGCTGAGTTAACCGGCGCTCTGTGTCGCCTGCAGCCCCGCCTGGATCTCTGGCAGGCCACCCTTTCTCCTCGACCCAGAAATGGGTTCAGGGACCCCACTTGCCCTGGCTGCTGCACCCGGACCGTCTGCTTCCACCCCAACCCAGGCCTTGAGGCTGCCTGGGGCTCTGGCCTGGCCGCGCTCAGGGGAAGCTCGCAGTTCCCCGAGGAGGAGGAGGCTCCCGACAGGGCTGGCCGCACCTCGGGACACAGGGTCAGCTCCGCCTGGCTCCGGCAGGTGGGCAGGCGCCTGGGCAGCCTGCTGGCCACCTGGAACCTGGCCGAGGCCCACCCCGCGAACCTGGGCCGCCTGGGCCTGCCTTGACCCCTAGATCTTCCTGGAACCCCTGCCCAAGTCCCCTTCCTGAAAGGCCAAGCGCTGGGCCGAGGAACCCGGAGTGGACGGACGGGGAGAGCCACCTCAGCCCGCATACAGGCCGCGTGCAAAGCTCCTGAGCCCCGGGGACCCGGTTCTAAATACACCTGTGAGCAGGTCGGCCAGCAGTCCCGCGCCTTCCCAGGCACGCAGCCGCAGCTCGGCCTTGCAGAGGGGCACGCGCTGGCCTCAGAGAGCGAAAGGAGCCCGGGACGCGGGCGGGCCCAGGCTTTAGGGGGGCCCAGCGTCGGGCAGGAGGGGCTCCCACGCACACCTGCCCAGCTGGGGGTTGGTGTTGGCCGCCTGGACGGAGGGGAGCGGCTGCGGAGCCAGGCCCAGCCCGTCCTTCCTGCCATCTGCTGGGCCCCGGCGCTCCAGGGCCGCTCGCCGGGCCATCCCCCGCTCGCACAGAGTGGGCTGCCAGCTCCTTCCAGCTCAGAGAACTTGGCCCCAGCGGGAGGCGAGGGCGGGGCAGGGAGCGTGGGGAAGGGCCGAGCCCTTGCTGGACTGCTGTGTCCGCTCCCTACTCCCGCACATCCCGGCGAGGTGTGGGGTCCAGAGGGCCGCTAGCTGTCGGCGCCGCAGGGTGCACCCCGAGGTTAGCAAGTCGCTCCCTGGCAGTCCGCCCGAGGAGTCCCTTCAAAGCCCGGGGGACGAGCCCTGGTCCCCGAAACACCCACCCCGCCGGCCCTCTGCTCGGCTTTCCCGCTGCGCCCCAGCTTGCTCCCAGGGCGCCTCTCCAGGCACGACCGAGCGCAGTCAGGGCGACCGTAGAGCAGGCCCCACCACCCGGCGCCGGCCCCTGCACCCCGCCTCCCACGCCGGACCCCGCACCCGCCCTCCCGCAACTTGCAGCGAACGCAGCGGCCTCCGGAGACCCCACCGGGCGGGCGGCAAACTTTGTCCCCTCCGGCGCAGGAGCGATCCTTACAAAGTTTGCGAGGCCGAACCCACTCCCTACCTGCGCTGGGGGAGCGCCTGCCCGCGCCGCGTGGGCGCCAGGGCCGCGGGGAGCAGCGAGCAGCCCCGGACGCACCGGGAGTCGCCGCCGCCGCCGCCGCCTCCGCCGCCCTCGCCCCTTGCCGCGCGCGGAGCCTCCGCCTCCTCGGAAGGGGGGAGGGGTCTCGGAACCCTGGGGCGGGGGCTGGCGCGGGACCTCGCCTACCTGCGGTGGCGCCTGGCTGCTCCCGGCCGCCGGCGAGGGCTCTGCGGGGCGGCTCGGCGCGCGCGCTCCGGCGGGGAGCAGGCGACAACTAATGGAGACATTTCCAGGCGGAGCACCTGGCGAGCGGAGCGCGCCGGCGTCCCCAGGCGCCGCGGTCGTCAGCCGAGCCCGCACCGGCGTGACGTGGGCGAGCGAGCGCGCTGCTCCCACCCGGCCGCCCATCAGCGCTTTGTCCCGCGGGCGCCGCGCACCTGCCAACTTTCCCCTCCGTGAGGCGCGGGGGTGCTGGCTGGGCGCCGGGGGCGCCGGGGTGCGGGCAGGGGCGTGGGGAGAGGCTGGTTGGCCCTGGACGCTGGGCCTCAGAAGAGGACCCCCCGAGGCGTCACAGGTCGGCAGGGGGGCGCGCGGCTACCTGGGCTGCTCCACGCTGCCATGGGCTCAGCCTCGGGGGGCGTCTCCAGCCCAGCCTGTCCCACTAGAGCGGGCAGGGCCCTGAGACAGCCGCGCCGCATTGCATTTCCGTGGGGGGCCCGAGTCTCCTCTCTATCCAAGCGGGCCCCAGGCTCAGACCCTCCCTTTCTTTCCTGCAGTTCCAGCTTCTCCCCCTGGTGTCCATGTCGGTCCACGACCCGCACTCTGGAAGTCCAGGAGCTTTGGTGTGGGCACCAGGACGTGGGCAAGTAGGGGTGAGTGAACCAAAGCGATAGACTTGTGGGAGGACTGACGAGTCGGAGACCTGCCCAGGACGGGTGCAGCAGTCACCACGACGTCCAGAGCTGGGCTGGGCTGGGCTGACCTCTGGCCTGCAGACTCACAGCCTGAGGCCAGGAGCCCAGGGCAGGGCAGGTGGGCCCAGGGGGGTCAACAGGGAACCCCTGAAGGCTGGGCACCGGGCTGTTTCCCTCCAGAGCTCGGGGCAGCCCAGAGCGGGAAGCAGGGGGAGGGTCAGAGCCGCAGGGGCCGCTGGTAATGGGGCCTCGGAGCCGCGTCGAGGGCCGCTTCCTGGGCCGGGCTGGCAGGACAGGCCAGGGGCAGTCTCCGGGGTTGCACTGCCTGTCTCCCCTGCCACCGCCATGCTTTGACTTCAAGAACCACTGCGTCCTTTCTCAGGTTGGCTTCCCCCTTTCTGTCTCTGCAGCCGCCGGACAGGCGACACAGAGCTGCAAGATGAACCCCCCCCCCCCAGGAGCTTTCAAACAGCCTGGGGGGGGGGGAATTAAAGCAGAAGTTTATTTTGCTGCCAAATTTTTTAAACCCATGAATATATTTTTCTTAAAACACGTTTTCCATGATTTTTTAAAAAACTTACTTGTTTTCATTTTGCCTGAAAATGCAGGCAGACACAGACACACGTGATTCGCACCCACTGGTTCACTCCCCCAGTGCCCACCGTGGCCAGGGCTGTGTCTCCCACACGGGTGCTGGGACCCAAGTACTTGGCCCACTGTCCGCTGCCTCCCAGGGCGCTGGGCTCGCTGTCACATGGCATGTGGGCCTCCTGGCCCCACCCCCACCCCCCACGATTGTTGTTTAAAGTTTTGTTTTACTTATTTAGAAGCCAGGGGCAGGGTCGGGGCAGGGGAGAGAGAGATCGTCTGCTGATTCACTCACCAAACAGCTGCAGCCGCCAGGACCGGGTTGGGCTGAAGCCAGGAGCCTGGAACCCCATTCAGGTCTCCCGCGTGGGTGCAGGGCCCAGGCACTTGGGCCGTCTTCGCGGCTTTCCCAGGCCATTAGCAGGGAGAAGGATCAGAAGTGGAGCAGCCAGGGCTCCCACAGGTGCTCCGGTATGGGATGCCGGCGTGGCAGGAGGGTTTTAACCCAGTGTGCCGAACTCCAGGCCCCACGCCTGATCCTTTGGAAGACTGCTCTCGGCACGTGGGTGCTGGCCTTGCAGGCTCTGCTCACCCTCCTCTCCCCGGCAGTCTGAGTGCCGTGGAGCCTGTCCCCATGCCCACCTGGACGCTGGGCCCAGAGCTGTCTGTAAAGGTGAAGGTGTAGCCGGGCACGCGTGTCAGTGACCCCCGTGGGGCCGCTCCCGGGCGCAGGGATGAGCCTTGTGTTCTGGGTGCCTGTGAAGGGCTCATGGAGGCAGGCTCCTTGGAAGGTGGGGGCTTGGTTCCCCTGGAGGGCAGTCTGGATACCGGATTCGGTTCCCATCACCGGGCCTGTTCCTAGCGGTGCAGGAGCTCAGGGCCCAGGAGTGAGCAGCTCCGGCCCTGGCCCTGGCCCTGACCCCGGCACCCAGACAGGCCAGGCAGGTGCTCAGGCACGAAAGGCCCTGGTTCAGGGGGTCCCACCCAGGATGGTTCATCTGGAGGTCCCCAGGGCCTCACGGCGCCCTGGCTCCCCGCCTCCAAGGACCACAGGTGAGAGCCTGGGCCTCCCTCGGGGCAGCTGCCCCAGGCCCTCCTGCTGCCCTTCAGTCTCCTGGGGGTCTGGTTCTGAGCAAGCACGGGAGGACAAGTCCCCTGGCTTCCCAGTGGGCGGTCAACCCAGGCCAGAGAGCAGCCTGGGCCAGCAGCGCAGGGCGCAGCTCAGGGGGCTGGCTGCGAGCAGGCCCGAGGCCCAGGGCTGCCCCGCGCCCCCGCCCCCTCGCCTTCAATCCCTCCTTTGTCTTCCCACTGGCAGAGCCGCCAGAGCACAATCTGCAGGCAAGTCTCCGTGCCCCTGGGGCTTGGCCGTGCGGCTGGGCTGCCGCCGCCTCCCTCGCGGGCGCTGCTGGGACACGCACAGGCATCTGCGGAGCCCGCGCACCCAGCCCCAACCTCGACGCTGCCCCCGCACTGGGAGACACGCAGCGGGGGGGGGGAGGGCTTTCTGGAGGAGGGGCCCGCCAGGGCACTGTGACGGGAAGGCCCCAGAGCAGGGGGCGTCCAGGCCGCTGGGGTGGGCGGTGGGAGCAGAGCCTGTCCTAGGGGTCTGTGCCTCGGCCTGTGGCGAGGGCACTGCCCGTTAGCCGCGGTTTCCTTGTCAGGGCAGAGCGCCCTCCGGGGGTCGGGCCGCGTGGGGAGACCCGCACCTCGGCCCTCTCACGTCCTCCGGAGTTGGCAGAGGTCGGGAGGCGATGTGTGCAGGTGCCTCTTCCAGGCAGTTGCGGTTATAAACAGCGAACGCTGTTCACTCCAGCTCTGGGTCTGTGCGTTTGCATCTGAAATGTTTACCCACTGAGGCCTGGAGCCACAGAGCCCAGGCCCGAGAAGACACGCATGGGGTTCGGTTGTTTTCTGTGTCAGAGGACGGCAGCCCTACGCAGCCGATACCTCAGGGCGGCTGGGGGGCCTGGAAGCAGGCCCTGGAGTGGCACAGACGCCACGCCCTGTCGCCTTCGCCTCTGGGGGCTTCCGTAGACAGGCCCAGCAATCACAGGCTACCGTGCGTCCAGAAATAGCAGGTGGGGGCCGGGGGTGCCGGGGTTTGATGGGGAAGAGGGGCGGGGCCGGGGGGCTCGTGGGGGCCTGGGGAGCTCCCTGCGAGCCGGCTCTTGTTCAGGGTTCACTCGGGAACGGTGCTCTGCGTGCCCCCTGGGAGGTGCCGGCCACACATCGCGGAGGGAGCACCACACCGCACGCCCTGAACGAAGCCCCGGCGTCGCCGGCGGCGCCCGCGGTGACCAGCGCGCCCGCACGCTTTTAATTACCGTGGCAGCAAATCACACAGAAATGTCCTCCAGGACTCAGCCGACTTTTATATAAAAAACATTTCAGAGTATTTTTGAAATTCAATTAATGGCAGGCCCCAGATAAAAGGAACACATTCTTAATGGCTACAGAATCAGCCCGAGGGGGCGAGGGCCCGACATCAAAGTGGCAGAGCCCCGCGCCTCACTCCCGGAGCCGCGCGGAGCCGCGGTGGGCCCGTTGCTGCGGCCAGCGACCCTGCCAGTCCCTCTGAGGCCGGCTCGGGGGAGGCAGGGCCTGCTTCTTCTGCAGGGGCTTCTGTGAGGGGCTGGGGGCTGCGTCAGGGTCTGGGGGTCCTGTGAGGGGTTGGAGTTGCCCCTAACAGGGACTTTGCTGTCTGCCAGCTCCGAGTTCTCCCGAGACTGCGAGGGAGCCTGCTGCGGGCCCTGTCCCGGTGGCTCCTGGGGGTCCCCTGCCCGGCTCCGCTGCCTTTAGGAGTCTCCCTGTGCTGTCGGTGCCGGCGGTCAGGCGGGAGAGGGGCCACGGGTGCCGCGGTCAGGCGGGAGAGGGACCACGGGTGCTGCGGTCAGGCGGGAGAGGGGCCACGGGTGCTGGCGGTCAGGCGGGAGAGGGGCCACGGGTGCTGCGGTCAGGCGGGAGAGGGGCCACGGGTGCCGGCGGTCAGGCGGGAGAGGGGCCACGGGTGCCGCGGTCAGGCGGGAGAGGGACCACGCTGCTCCCTGTGGCGCCATCTTCCCTCCTGGCCTCGGCTGTGAACCTGCTTCCAGATGAGGCCACGCCCTGGGTTAGGACTGGGGGCGGACACGGTCCAGCCTGTGACAGGGGGCCCTGAGGGCCACCTCCTGGGCCGCCCCCACTGCCCCCTCAACACCCTGCCCCCAAGTGACCCCTGGGACAGAGTTCTGTGTACTGTCCCTGAGTACTTCCGGGAGAGGGAGGGGGAGAGGGAGAGGGAAGCCCCCGGGGGCTGAGGCTCCCCGCCCGCCCTCTGGTGAGCCCCGGGAATGAACGCGGCTCTGCTGAGTGAGCCTGGGCTCCGCAAAGGCACCGAGGGAGGAAGCAGCGACCGAGCCGTCCGAGTCCTCGCTGCAGCCTCTTGGGGGAGGAGCTGCAATGCTCAGGCACAGGGGTCTTCCCAGGGCCCCAGAGACCCCCGCCCCTCAGCGGCTCTGGGGCTTCTGGGTGGGCGGAGGCAGGGGAGGGGCTGCCTGGGGGGGTTGAGCAGCTCTGGGCAGAGACAGAAGAGTGAATGGTTGCACGGGGAAGCATCCGACCCCGCGGCTCCCCGTGTGGGCGTCTGTGGCGCGGCAGCTGGGACAGCCCTGTGCACGGCCGCTCCCCGTGCTCGCTTACTGCCTGGGGACCCAGGCCTGCTGGCATCGGCCCACCAGCACCCCCTCCTCCAGTCTCCAGTGCAGCCCCGGGCAGCACCTGCGGGCCCGGACGGCCACCTGTGCTCTGTGAGGGGGCTGTGGCTTTCTCTGCCCTCCCTCCCAGCCTCTGCCCACCACCCGGAGCTCGGCACGGGTTCCGGCAGCCGCCAGGGCCGGGTGAGGATTCCTGTTCACTGCTGTGTGACGGAGCCACACCCTTGGCTGAGGAGGGCACACGCTCAGCGTCTGCAGGTTCTGGGGGTCCTGGGTGCAACCGGGACCCTGCTCAGTGCCCGCCCAGGGCCTCCGGAGCCCTCCACAAGGCGTGGGCCAGGGCTGGGCTCTCACTGGCCTGGTGGAGGTTGGGAGGGCCGGCTCCTTGTGGCCGTTGGATGGACAGCTTCAGACTTTCGGTGGCTGCCGTTCATCGTTTGCTGTGGGGTCGAGCCCAGCCTCTCCCCACTGGGCCCTCCCTGCTGTGGCGGGACAGGGAGTCCAGTGAGGGGACATCCACTCTCGTGGAGCAGATGCCCACGACGGTGTGGTCACAGCCCGCCCCAGGAGGCCGACACATCGAGGTCGGGGGCACAGGGCCACCAAGTCCACCTGCCTCACTGGACAATGGGGAGGGGAGACTCTGCGCCACTCCTGGCCTCGATTTCTCTAGGATTCTTTGCTGCCAGCCCAGGCCACGCTGTGTATGGCTGGGAGTGGTGGTACATGGCCAGGCTGTGTCTGGGTTCCCAGCCCAGGCCACACTGTGCATGGCTGGGAGTGGTGGTACATGGCCAGGCTGTGTCTGGGTTCCCAGCCCAGGCCATGCTGGCACGTGGCTGAGAATAGTAGTGTGTAGCCCAGGCTGTGTTCTGGGTCCCACTGCAACTTTGGGGTCCTCTTTTCCACCAGGCTGGGACTGCACCTGGGAGTGTCTCTGGCCAGTGAGATGTCAGAAAGCTCAGGGCTCTGCATGGACAGAGCCCTCACCAGGAGCCAGAAGAGGTCAGCGTGACCCCGGCATCCGGAGCCTTCTTCACTCGTCTGCATTTCAGGGTAGACATCGTTGAGTGTTGTCACTGCTGACAGCGTCTGTTAGCCGTTGTGCGTCTTGTTTCGCAGGAGCGTTTTGCTTTGATGTCTAGTCTGTTGCCACTCCCCCTTGACCTGCTTCCTGTCCAGTTGTGCGCCTGGCCGAGCAGCCACTCCCACCTTCAGTCTCCACGGGAAGCCACGGTGTGAGGCAGGGATCAGGACTCTGTTTTTATCACAGCCGCTTTCCCCATCAACAGTCACTAAATAAACCACTTTTTTTTTTTTAAAGATTTATTTATTTATTTGAAAGGCCGAGTTATAGAAAGGCAGAGGCAGAGAGAGAGAGAGAGAGAGAGAGAGAGAGAGAGAGGTCTTCCATCTGCTGGTTCACTCCCCAGATGGCCACAACGGCTGGAGCTGAGCTGATCCGAAGCCAGGAACCAGGAGCTTCTTCGCGGGTGCAGGGGTCCAAGGACTTGGGCCATCTTTCACTGCTCTCCCAGGCCATAGCAGGGAGCTGGATGAGAAGTGGAGCAGCCGGGACTTGAACCGGTGCCCATATGGGATGCGGGCACTGCAGGCGGGGGCTTTACCTGCTGCTACACCACAGCGCCGGCCCCAATACGCTGCTTTAATTCGCAGATTTGACACTTACTTTTGTGTCCCTGAAGCACAACGGAGGCCGTGGGGTGGAATGACCGGCCTCACTTCCTGTTTCCTGTGCCCGCCTCCAGCAGTGCTTCCTGACGGGCTGGGGGGCATCTGGTGCCGCTGGCCCACACTGGCATCGTCTCGGCCTTGGGCTCGGGCGCAGCTGGCACCTCAGGATCCAGTTGTCACGAGGCCAAGGCACCTTTGTTCTTCATTCCATTTCTCCGTGTTTGACTTCTCCTCGCTGTGAGGGACACAGCTGCGGGGGCAGCGTCTCGCGGTCGCCACGGAGGCATCTGTGTTTCTTCACCGTGGATTCTGTCGTCTCTCTGACCCTGGGCCTTTGTCATCACAGCACGCTTGTCGTTAACACAACAGCAGATGACACAACACGACACAAGATAACAGTACAAAATAACATGACACGGCACGACACGGCACATGACACTACAACATGACATGACATGACACAACACGGCACAGCACATGACACTACAACATGACATGACACGACACGACACGACACAAGATAACAGTACAAAATAACACACACACGACATGACAACATGACATGACACGACACAACACAAGATACCAGTACAAAATAACACATGACACATGACATGACAACATGACAAACGTGACAACATAGCATAACACATAACACAAGATAATGCAAAATAACACGACACAACATGACAATACGACATGACATGACAACATGACACAACACGACACAAGATAGCACAGTACAAAATAACATGACATGACACATGATACAGCACATGACAACATGGCACAACATGACAGCATGACACAACACAACACAACACAAGATAATACAGTACAAAACATGACAAACATGACAAAACATGACAACACAGCATAACACGTAACACAATATAACAATACAAAATAACACATGACACAACATGACATGATGACATGACATGACACAAGATAACGCAATACAAAATAACATGATGTGATACATGACACAGCACATGACAACATGGCACAACATGTCAGCATCACATGACACAACATGACAGCATAGCCTAACACATAACACAAGATAATGCAAAATAACACAACATGACACTATGACATGACATGACACGACAAAAGATAACAAAATAGAAAGAACACATGACAACACAATGCAGCATCACACAACACAACATGATGACACAAGATAACACAACAGGACACTACACAACATAAGACAACATGACAGGACAACACACAACTCGACACCCCGTTGTCACAGAGTCTGAACGCATCCGCCCGGTGGCCCTGGGGCCCCCTGGAGAGGAGGCAGGGCAGGAGTCTGGGCATCAAGGCCGGTGGCTCCTGGCCCCCTCACTGAGGCCCTGACCCGCTGCGCCGGGTTGCCGTGTGGGAGGGGCTGCCGCGCCCCGGGAGCGGCCCCCTGGCTGGGCGGGGCCAGTGCTGGGCTCTCGGTCTCCTGCTGATGGGGTGGCACTGAGCCCGAGCCCGAGCCCCGAGCCCCGAGCCCCGAGCCCCGAGCCCCGAGCCCGAGCCCTGAGCCCTGAGCCCCGAGTCCCGAGCCCCGAGCCCCGAGTCCCGAGCCCCGAGCCCTGAGTCTCGAGCCCCGAGCCCCGAGTCCCGAGCCCCGAGCCCTGAGCCCTGAGTCCCGAGCCCCGAGCCTGAGCCCCGAGCCCCGAGCCCCG